CCCCCGCCTGGTTTGGGAAATTTTCTGCTATTTTGTGAATAGTTTACCGATGTCATTTGCGTTGACTCCAGGATCTTCATTGATGCCTGTCAGTCTTACATTGTTTCCCTTGGCATCATCTTAAAGCTGTTGAATTGTCATTTGATGCTGCTTTGTTATTTTTAAAAGTTCTATCTTTTCATGATTGCTACTTGTGATCCTGTTTTCAAGTCCGAAATTCTATCCTTAGCTTCATTTAAACGGTTTACCAGCTTTCAATATAATTTTTTGTTTCTTGAATATCTCTTTGAATTTGTTTCATGGGTTCTGCTTGTTTTCTATATTGTTCATTCAAGGTTTCAGTCAGTTTCCTATGCTCTTGTAATTTTTAAAAATCTATTTTTTTCTCTAGCTATACTACAACTCCTTTACTAAGGTTGTCATTTCTGTCTGTATGTGAAAAACTATTTCTAATTTGATTTCCTCTGTAGCCGCATGGATTTGTTTCTTTATTTCACTTGCTATCTTTTCAGAGATTTCAGGTATATGACTTTTTTTTTTTTTTTTTTTTTTTTTGTCTTTTTCTTTTGTATTGGTACCGGGGATCGAACTCACGACTACCAGCTTGCAAGGCAGGTACTTATGCCACTGAGCTAAATCCCCAGCCCCAGGTGTATGACTTTTAAAGTCCTCTATTTCAATGTCTCCTGTACTTGCTCCTGATGGTCTAGATGTTTGAGATTGCATTTTGCTTTTTCATTTTGTCATTTTCACCTTTTGGGCTAATATTTGGTCTTTCAATCCCACTAGTCTCAGTTGTGCGTAGTGTATATTTTAGGGTCCTACTTTGTGGTTAATGTTTGTCTGATTGCTGGTTACCACAATGAAGAGCAGTGCCAGTCACCTGAATTTTTCCTGCAGGGCCTGTTGGGTGAGTCCTATATTCTTTCTAGGCTGACTAGCTTAGGAGTATTGACCTAAGTCAACACTTAGTTCCCATTGTTACTATGTCTTCAGATTGTACTAGGTCACCAGATCTCCCTGTCTATAATGTTTTGTTTAGGGTGGGACCCTACTGTGCCACTGGGTGTTTCATAAGCCTTTTAATTTTCTCCAAGTTGGGGGAGGCCTTATTGGTATACCCTTCAACCCACTTGATATTCTCTATGTGGAGGAAGGACTCATCCACACTTGCTAAACTCTCCAAGGACCTGCAACTAGAGGGAGCTTTGCTATTGCTCCTGTTTACCCACTGGAAACCTCTATTTTAGGGGCAAACTCACCACATTGAAAGAAGCCTGCTGAGGTCCTCTGTTTGGATGAGGCTGTTGCTGAGTCTCCCATCAGCCCAGCATGGTTAATCCAATGCAGTCCAAGGTTCTGAAAGGAGGAGTGGTAGCCGATCAATAGTAATACTAGGTCCAGGAGGTGGGGGGTAGTCCCTGATGGCAGGACACAGGAGTGGAAGTGGCCTGCCCTCCATGCTGCAGGTCCGGGGTCTGAGGGCAAGACAGCAGGTGTGGAAGTGGCCTCAAGTTTTCTAAGGTCATTAGGTAAAAATCAGTTGCATCTCTGTTACCAATAAGGAAGTATCAAAAGAGAATTAAAATATATGTTTAAATATATATATATATATATATAGGCACACCTGTAATCCTAGCACTTTGGGAAGCTGAGGCAGGAAGATCTCTCAAGTTCCAGCCTAGCCTGGGTAACTTAGCAATTTAAGATCCTGTCTTAAAATAAAAAATAGAAGAGGCTAGGGTTACAATTTGGTGCAAAGGCTCTGAGTTCAGTCCCCAGTACATATATATGTGTGTGTGAGCCAAAATTGGGAAAATATACTTCTAACATGCAATTGACAAAAGATTAATATGCAGAATATATAAAGAGCTGCTACAGTTAGTTGGAAAGTCCATTCAGTAGAAAAGTGTACAAAAAACATGAAAGACATAAAATATAAGTGACTAAATAACAAAGATAACCTTACCAGTGTCAGAGAAAACTAAGTTAAAACTCCATTGAAAAAGTAATGCAGAGTAGAAGCATGAAAAAACTTGGCATAGGGTACCTAAATCCAGCTTATTTTGACTTTGGAAGATAGTTAAAGGTTCACTGCAGCCATGCAAACATTTATCTGAAAGGAAAAAGAGAAACTTTCTAACCAAGAATTCTAAATTTGGCAAAATCAGACAAATAGCTAAACAATAACTGAGAGAATTCCTTACCAAAAGGAATTCCTTGCTTTCTGCCCTATGAGAAGTAGTAGCAATAGTCTTTCGGGCTCACTGCAGACTACAGTTATTAAATTTACTTTCTGTCATACTGCCAAAGAATATGCATTTTAAATAAACTGTCCTATTTGTCCTTTATACAAAAAATAAGTTCCCACCAAATTGTTAAAAACTGGAGGAAGCAAACAGTCCAGTACAACAGAAACTTTTAAGCACTCTCAAGATGATTATACCATTTCGGAAAATTATTTGGTACTACCTGGTAAAGTTGAAGATACGTAGATCATACAGTAATTGTATAAATACCAAAAAGGAGTGTAAATGTAGCTCAGTGCAGAGGTCCTGGGATCAATCCCTAGTAATGCAGAGAGAAACTCATCAGAAGACACATAATCTTCACAGCTGCCTTTGTAAATAGCAAAAATTAGAAACAATAAAAAAAATCCAGATTTTCATTGATATGAGAAAAGATTTCTTAAAAATTATGGTATAAAATGTGTGCAAATGAGTGGGTAATAGCAAAATGCATTAACATGTAGAACTAAAAAAGGAAGTGCCAGAGAAATTCATAAGGGAAATTTATTTGGGAATATAGACATTTATAGAATAAGTATAAAGAAAAACCACAGAATGAACATATTTATGGTAGTAGTTGCTTCTGGAGGATAAAGGAAGGATGCATAAAGAATTACCATAGCTTTAGCGATTCAAGAGATGAACATGTTTTTATTTTCTTTTACCTTGTTTATATGTGCATGTTTCCTCTCACCTCTACCCTGGTACTGGAGATTGAATCCCCAGAGTTTTGCATGCAAGGCAAATGTTCCAGTTTTGCATGCTAGGGAAGTGTTTCATCACTAAACTACATCCCCAATACTTTTATTTTTAGGCAGGGTTTCACTAAGTTGTCCTTGAACTTGGCATCCTCTTGTCTTAGCTTCCTACGTAACTGGGATTGAAGGTGGATTTTTCTGCCAAACTCAGACTATTCCACCCCATTAGTGATAAAAATATACACAATGGAACACCCTTATCATGCAGTCCTACAATGCTATGGCACAGCTATAACACAGCCTGACTGTTGTGTATTTCACATGCATCAACGTGGTATATTATAATTTTAAATATTATATAAAATGGAAAGCACCTGTTCTGTGCTGCTGTTGAAAAGAATGATAATAACTTTTTAGGAATATAAGCCTTGTTTTCCACCTCCTCTCCGGTTATCTTTATCATCTCATATAGTTTTCTTTTCCTTTTTTGGGTGAGTGGGATTTGTCTCTCTTTCCATTTAGGAATAAAATGTATTAGAGCAGTTAATTTTTGGCTTTTCTTTTTTAAAAACCTATTTTGTTCAAGGTTCAGAGTCTAGCAACTCCCCAAAAGTAATTAAGTCATGGTAGATACATGCATAAGAATTATTTGTTGAATGAATAAATGTATATGTCTATGTAGTATGACCTTTAAAAAAATTTGAGTGTATGTGTGTGTAATATGTATATGTGTGTATAGATACATAAAAGTACATACAGACATAAACAGAAATATTTAAAAATCTGGAATTCTGCATCCCAAATCAACCTCTGGTATAAGAGTAGACTTAGGTAGAAGGTGATCACAGCTGAGTAAATTTTATATTCTGGATTTGTATTTTTGCAACGTGTATTTTGTATTCTTAAAAGGGGAGGAAACATTTGGAAAATCAGAAGAAAACTGTAAAAACTGGAAAACTTGAAAAAAAAATGATTGAAAAGTAACATTGACCTACTTAACCAGTCTCTAGAACTTCTAGAGTTGATTGAGCCAGTTATTAGTAGATGTAAGACTGGAGTAGAGTCTGTAATCATATCAGCTTAACATGCTATTGGGTACTGAGTCTTTTTCCCAGTGTGGATCTCTGAAAGAAAGAGCATGGAATAGAGGTGTTACGAGGACTTTTAAGACCTGAGGTCATGTGCTGAGACGTTTTGTGTCCTTGTTATTATATATACACTAAATAATAAGCTTTTCTATTTGACTTGAAACTTGAAAGCAAACAGACAAATACGATCAGTATTATACACTTGGTGGGTGGAGTATATTATTCTGTAGGTCTTTTGAGCTATCTAAGATATAGATAAATAAAATTGATTATTTTAAGGCCTTTTTTCCCCAGATACCTTTTGCTTAATGATTCTTCTGTCATACTCAACCCCCTCAGTCTCGCCCTATTTTAGTGATAAAAATACAGTATGTACCATAGGATGCTTTTAACAGATATTCCCTACACTGCTGTGGCACAACTTTAACATGGCCATCTCTGATGCAGGTGCCAAGCCAAGTGAAATATTTTACAGACATCTTTGTGGCGAGGATGCCTTTTTAAACAAGCATATAAATATATTCATTTTATTTAAATCTTAGCAAAAATGTGGTATTATTTTGTGACAAACCACAAAATTATAATATTGTTCTGAATGATTGATTATGGTTAGGACAGAAGTGTATGATAATTATATTTCTGAAGGGGAAACTGGTCAGAGCCATACAGATATAAACTTAAATGCTAAGGAATAGGGTGAGCCATTCGCTTGCTTACTTCTATATGAAGAAAATCAATTTTCTCAGTTTTTAACATTTTCCCCCTATACTTTATGGGCTTTGAAGATTTCTCTCTACTCCCCCCATGAAATTGGGGAAACATATTTATTTTGGAGCTACTGAATTTTAGATACTAAAAAAGTTACTCTTCTCTTCATTATTCCTGTGTTCATTTTCCTAATGTGATTTACTTCTGTTTTTTACCAGCTGTGGGACCATTTGGATCCAACAATGTTCTTCCAAGATTTTAGACCATTTCTGAGTAGCAATCCACTGGACCAAGATAATAGAGCCAATGACAGGGGTCACCAAACTCATACAGACTTCTGGGGACCAAGTCGGCCTCCAAGGCTGCCACTGACTCGGAGATATAGGTCTCGAGGAAGTACTCGTCCTGACAGATCTCCAGCTATTGAAGGGTGAGTTGTTTTTTTTTTTTTTTAATGTAGTTTCAAAGGCTATATGGGTAAAATCTGATCTTTATAAGGCCCTTGTATGTACTATCTTTGTGGGCAAGAAGGAATGTAGACAGGATAAAAATGAAGCTAAATTGAATATCTATACTCAACTGGTATCAGTTAATGAATGATAAACTACAGTGATGAAAACTAGTGTTACAGGTCTCTGGTTAACATTTTTATTAATTTCTCAGATTAAAAATATATGATCTGTTTATAAAAATTTCAGAAGATACTGAAAAGCTTATATATAAAGTATATTAGATAACATTAGGATTCATAGATCTGTTTTAGATCTCAACAGACTGGAGCAGTGGGCTTAATGTTAAATGTGATAACCATATAAAGTCTGACAATAATAACATTCAAACAACAACTTTCTATTGAGTAGTAGTCTTTTTTTTTTTAAGGAGAAAAAGGAAAAAAACAAAAAGGGTACAAGTAATACAAAATTTAAAAAATAAACAGTAAGAAATCACTAGTTAATAAATTATATATTCTCATCTTAGAAATAGTTGTTCAAGTTACAAAATTGAAGCATATAAAGTGGACCTTCAAACAGTGAGAATGCAAACAGTTTTGTTCAGTGATCCAAAAAACACTCAGAATATGGTTATCTATCTTACACACTTAAACATATATGCAGTTATAACCTTTAGAGCACTTTCTTTTCTTTTCTTTTGTACAATGACAGTTACACATTTTGGGTTTTATTACTCCTACAGTTCTTATTACTTCTTTTGAAGAGAGTAAAACCAAATGAGACATATCAGAACAGAGTCAAATCAAAAGGATGGGCATAATAGATAATGTAAAAACAAAATATAAGGTGATCAGCAATGGTTACCATACTGCCTCTTGCTATTTTAAGAAGTTATAAGCAGTTATAATAAAATTGAACTAAACAGTAAAGAATAAAACCAAAGCATTGGAGACATTACAGGATTTTAAAAGAAAATAATAGTCAACCTGAATGGGCGTCATAATGATTCTTATTGTCTTCACAGTTATGCCTATACTTTCGAACTTGGTACTATCAAGCAAAGCAGAATAGAGGAAAATCAGTCAAAACAAGATAGTGAGGGCAATACAGGATTTCAAATCAAGTTAATAGGAAATCAAAGTAGGTTACTATAATGTATCCTGCTATTTTTTATTTATCTTTCCCTTAATTAAAAAAATAAAAAGAAAAAAGTAAATAATTTTAAAAAAGGGGATTGAGATAAAAGAGGGCATAACAACAGAACAGCGCAGGTCAAAACATAACCATTTAAGCAAAATAGTGTTTCACCACAAGATATCCTGACATAAAAATAGTTACCATGGTGTTTCTTTCCTTGAAATCTTTGAGTATAACTTCTTATACTCTAGTACCAAACATATCAAGATACTATAAAACCATTCAAGAGAATGACATTATTACAGGGTATTTAGAACCAATTAACAGAAAATGAACAATGATTTCTATATAAACTCCTTGTCTATAAAATTTTTTCTTATATTATCATATATAATAAAATCCAATAAGATACAACCTTTTAAGACCAATGGAGACGGAAGAATACAAGTTTGATGGGACTTCAAAACAAGATGATTCTAAATCAGCACTAGCTATTATGATGTCTTGTTTTCTCCAAAATAGCTGTTCCTACCATCCGATCTTCTCTGCCTCATTTCTGTTGAGCTCTTTTTCTGTCATTTGTTGTCAGTTTGTCTTCTTTCGTTTTCTGCTCCATTCATTGTGGCCTCTCTGCCACTATTTCTGGAATCTTGGTATTTTCCTTTTTTAGACTATCCTGCAGTATTCTCTGTAGAGTTGAATTAGTGTTTGCAAATTCCCCTAGTTCCTCTTTATCTTGGAAGCACCTTGTTTTTCCATCAATTTCTAGGGACAGCTGTGCAGGATATATGTATCTTAGCTGGAGGTTATTATCTTTCAAAGCTTGAATTATTTCACCCCACGCTCTTCGTGATTTGATGGTTTGTGCCGAGAAGTCTACTGTAATTCTGATGGGTGTTCCCCTTGTAAGTGATCTGTTTCTTGTCTCTGACGGCTTTTAATATTCTGTTCTTATATTGGATTTCTGGTATTTTGATTATTATATGCCTGGATGTAGTTCTGTTTGGGTTGTAGGTGGCTGGAGTCCTGTATGCCTCATATATCTGAATATCTTTACCGTTTGCTAAGTTAGGGAAATTCTCTTGGATTATTTCTGTGAATAGCTTTTGAAGTCCATTTGTGTCCCCACTTCTTCTCTTATGTTCTTAATTCTTAAGTTATAGATCCTTGTATCATCTGCTAGTTTTTGTATTGTTGCTGTTTGTTTTTTTGTTATTTTTAAGTTTTTCATTTCATGCTCCCATATTACAAATCTGCCCTCCAGTTTAGATAATCTGTCCTTAGTTTCTTTCAAGCTGTTATGCCAGTTTTCAATAGAGTTTTAGTTTCCTGGTAGTCTCTTTGAACCTGCTTTACGTATTCTACTTTTTCTCTCTCTCTTCTCCATCAAACAATTCTCCCCATTTTTTCTGTTCTTCCGTTCCACCATCTGTTTTTTCTTGGGCGGTGCTTAGCATTTCTCTAACTTCTGCTTATGTCTTGTTTCAGGTCATTAATAACTTCATTCCTGAACTCGTCTATGAGGCTCTGGAGATAGCACTTTATGTCTATTGGTGCCATGTCTGCTATTGCATGTTTCTCAGGATTGGGGGCCGAGGAGCCTTTCTTGTTGCTCCCTCTTCCCATATTCTTTGTTCCTTATATTTAAGCATTTATAGGAGGCCCAGCTTCCTTCCCTGTCAGCCACAGTCTGTTTGAATTGCGCCGGCTAGGTGTTCCCGCCCACAGCAACGCACCAGGGAGACACAGACCTGGGCAGTATATGCCGGCCCGCCCCTCCAGGTCAACCTACCGAAGGCTTCACCGCTAGGGTGCACCTCCAGGCACTGGGACCTGAGTTGGGCTAGCCTGTTGAGTCGCAGGCCAGGCACTCCCCACCAGTCCGGCTTGAGAGGGGGATATGTGACTGAAGTCACTGCAGCATCTCGTTCCGGGAAGTTTGCCAGGTCTGAGTATGTCCTCCGCTGAAGCTTCCTTCTCTATGGAAGGGTCCCCATTCACTCACTCACTGCAGGTTGATGCAGGGCACCCAGCCAGTCCCACTCCCAACTCCTTCCAGTGCTTTCCACTCTCCGAGCTTTTGCACCTCTCTCCCCGCTGTGCCGACCCGGATGCAACAGTGGCTGCAAGTAATTCAAATTGCAGTTTCTAGTAGTGCAGGGTCCGGCTTACATGCTGAGACCTTATCGGTTCCTGCTGTATCACCAGGATTGCGTTTCCAGTTGGTTTCTCTTAATTTAGTTCGTTCCTGGGTCAGCAAAGAATTATCCCCCTTGCCTAGGACTTCCTGCCCAGCACCATTCTTGGATTTCAAGTGGGGTTTCTCAGAGAGCCTCCGAGGCTGCTGCTATCTATCCGCCATGTTCTTCCGGACTCTGAGTGGTAGTCTTTAATCTCATGAATACCATTTGGAGGAAATAATTTTCATTGTCATTTGTGAAGTATCGTGTGTCTTGCTTTATTTATTTCATTTTATCTATGTGAGGAAATAGGTGCTATTGCTATTTGTACCTAATACAGTGATGGTGAATGTTTTAGAGCTTTCATTGATAACAAACAGCCAACTGTGGTATACTTACCATAGATTTACCACCATTGTTATATAAAGATAAACCGAGACTCAAAGTAACAGCCACTGGTGAATCCAGGATTCTGTAAACCCTGGTTACATAGTGGTATACTATTGGATATAATGGCTACTAGGCATGTGTGGCTATATCATTTTAAATTAATTAAAACTTCATAGAATTTGAAATTCCTTACTTCCACTGGCCATGTTTCAAGGGTTTAGTGGCCCCATGTAGCCAATAGTTACCATATTTGGTAGTACAGATTTTAAACATTTCTATCATCTCAGAAAGTTCTATTGGACAGTTCTATTCTAAAACCTACAGTACCTCTCTCCTCTCTGGAATACTACTAACATTTACAGTACTTGCTTTAGCACATATCTTTCCAAATACATACCTATCATCTTTGGTTTTATGCTTTCAAAGACAGCTACAGACATTTCTTCTTAGATACAGGATAGAAGAAATATGGTTTATTGGATCAAGTAGGATAAAACCTGAAATCCTAAACTGTTTTAATAGCTCCAGGTCCCCAGAGTAAATCTACTGTATCCCACACTAGCTAAACTAGCTAAACTGTTCCCTTCTCTGTTTTTGTTGAGTTTCTTAACTGGGTATGGTTGTTTTTTTTTTTTTTTTTTTTTTTTTTTTGAGACAGAGTTTTACTATCAATCAGTTCAGGCTGGCCTTGAATTCACTTTGTGACCCAGGCTGACTTAAGCACTTTAAACAATCTTCCTGCCTTAGTTGAGTGCTGGGATGATAGGCATGCACCGCCCAGCCAGGTAAGCCTCTTAACTGTTGATCTGCATTTCTCCTCCTCTCTTAACCACTAAAACAGTAATTTTGGATCACTATTATGATCTACTTTTTCTTTTTCTCCTCCCCTCCCCTCCCCTCCCCTCCCCTCCCTTTCCCTCCCCTCCTTTCTCTCTCTCTCTCTTTCTTTCTACCTTTCTACCTTTCTATCTTTTTCATCTTTTTCTTTCGTCTCTCAGTTATGCCTGTCCAGTTAGTCACTCAGTTTTTTTTGTTTGTTTGTTTCCTATTTTTCAAATTATAGTTTGTCCAATTGTTTTCCCCTTGGTTACTTTTCTTGCTTGCTTGCACTGTTGTATTAACTTCCTGATTGTTTTCCTCCCCAAGGCTTTGCCATTTTAAAACCTAGTCCCATATCACTTTAGTGGAATTTTCTACTTAAATTTTCAAATATGTACCTACTATGCTGCTTAAAGTCTGCTGTCATAGGGTCCATATTTGGCTTTGTATGT